GACACCAGACCAGACGTGCTCTAATCTGTGTGATGTGCCAGGAGTCCATGTACAATGTCATTTCCACAAAGGATTTTGCCATTTTAAGGGAATGCCAGGCTAGACAGGCCATGAGGACCCTCTGGGAGTCTCAGGGTGGGGGGTAAGGAAGAGATGTTGGAGAGATGAGGCTGAGGGCTGCAGGATAGATTGGGGTGGGGGCTCAGGAATAAAAGAGGGCACAACCCCCACCTGGCAGAGCTCCTGCAGCCACCTACTTCATCTCTGCCCACTCAGCGCCTCCCCAAGTCTCCCTGCCATGGAAAGTGTAGTGCCTGCCTTTCACCTGGGTGGTCTGGCCTGGAAGGCTGAGCGGCAGAGGCAGGGAGTGGGAGCAGGGATGCAGGGGACGGGATGGGGGAGGTCGGGGGCAGGAGGGACGTCTGGCTGACACTCTGGACCTCACTCCTGCCCAGCCAAGTAACCTGGGGCTTGTTTCTTCACTTTGTTGGGTCTGGTTTCATCCCCTGTAAAATGCAGAGGGAAGTAATGACTGCCTTGTACCATTGGGAGGATCAAATAAGATGTTAAAGTGGCCAGGTGTGGTGGCTCACACCTGTAATCCTGGCATTTTGGGAGTTGTAGGGGGAAGACTGCTTGAAGCCAGGAGTTTGAGACCAGCTTTGGCAAAGTAGCAAGACTCCCCAACTTCTCAAAAACAAACAAACAAAAATTAGCCAGAGGTGGTGGCTCGAGCCTGCAGTCCCAGCTGCTTGGAAAGGAGAGGGCGACATCAGCCTAGGAGTTCAAGGCGGCAGTGAGCTGTGACTGTCCACTCCATTTCAGCCTGTTGATATGGTTTGGCTGTGTCCCCACCCAAATCTCAACTTGAATTTTATCTCCCAGAATTCTCACGTGGCTATGGGAAGGACCTAGTGGGAGGTAATTGAATCATGGATGCCGGTCTTCCCCATGCCATTCTTATGATAGTAAATATGTCTCAGAAGATCTAACGGGTTGGTCAGGGCTTTCTGCTTTTGCTTCTTCCTCATTTTTCTCTTGCTGCCACCATGTAAGAAGTACCTTTCACCTCCTGCCATGATTCTGAGGCCTCCCCAGCCATGTGGAACTGTTAAGTCCAATTAAACCTCTTTTTGTTCCCAGTTTCAGGTGTCTTTATCAGCAATGTGACAAAAGACTAATATACTAGATGACCAAGCAAGACCCAATCTCTTAAAAAGAAAAGAAAGGAAGGGAAGGGAAGGGGAAGCAAGGGGAGGCAAGAGAGGCAAGGGAAGAAAAGCAAAGCAAAGCAAAGAAAAGAGAAGGAAAGAAAAGAAAAGGGAAGAAAAGAGAGGAGAGGGGAGGGGAGGGAGGGGAGGGGAGGGGAGGTGAGGAGAGGAGGGGGAGGAGAGGAGAGGTGAGGAGGGGGAGGAGAGGAGAGGTGAGGAGAGGAGGGGGGGGGGAGGAGAGGAGAGGGGAGGGGAGGGGAGGGGAGGGGAGGGGAGGACAGGACAGGGCAGGGAAGGGCAGGGCAAGGCAGGGCAAGGCAGGGCAGGGAAGGGTAGGGCACAGCAGGGAAGTGAATATGCCCAGCACAGGGCTGGAACAGAGCGGGTGCTCATCAAGAAAGACATACAAATGGCCAGGCGTGGTGGCTCAGGTCTGTAATCCCAGCACTTTGGGAGGCTGAGGTGGGTGGATGACTTGAGTTCAGGAGTTCCAGACCAACATGGTCAACATAGCAAAACCCCATCTCTAACAAAAATACAAAAAGTAACCGGGCATGGTGGTGCACACCTATAATCCGAGCTACTCAGGAGGCTGAGACATGAGAATCACTCGAACCTGGGAGGCGGAAGTTGCAGTGAGCCAAGATCGTGCTGTTGCACTCCAGCCTGGATGACAGAGTGAGACTCCATCTCCAAAAAAACATGGAAGACACAAACATATGGAAGTCTAGCTGTGGTCTTCGAGTCTAGGGACTGAGAGGGACCGTTACTGCAGGCTACCCCGCAGCACTCCTGGGCCAGGGGCGGGCAGAGTGAGGGAGCCAGCGAGGCGGAGATGCAGGTACTGCGCCCTCCTTCATGCCCATTGTTTCGTCTCTGCAAATCCATAGCTGGAACCACCTCGAAAAACAATGGCTGGGGAGTTCCCACAAAGGAGTGCCCCAAACTGTACCGTATAGGGCCAGAGATTCCAACGACAGAGGCCCTCAACGCCAGGGTGGTCTGGGTAAAGCCTTCATTGGGAACTTACAGAGTGCTATGGCAATCCTCTGGGGGACCATGAGAGAAACGGGTGGCTACCAATGTCACGTCAGCAGCCCGGGCTGGGCCAGTTTCTTTCTAGTAACCCTAGATAGCTTTGTCAGTGCCTAGGAATGTTCAAAGCCCTAATTTGGGTTCAAATCTGCTGTGAAAAAACTTGGAGCTGGCTGGGTCACAGGCCCTGCGTCAAGGCACTCTATGATTTTCAATCAGGACACAGAAAAAATGTAGGGGACACTGGGGGATTCTATCTCTCTGTGAAGCCTCTCACTGCCCCTGCCACACCTTCTCCGGCCACTGCTGCAGGGACCAGCTCTACACAGACGTCCAGTGACATCTTGCAAGGGTCACCCCATAGCACTTGGAACCCCTTCTCTGAAGCAGCGGAGGGGCTCACACAGGCACAGCCCAGGCGTGCAGGGGACTTAACACCCACAGGGCCACCTCTGCTGGCAAGGACAGAGTCTGATGGGTAAATGTTTCTCCCTCCATCCCCCAGGTAGACAATTCAGAGATGCATTTCCTAAGGCTTCTCAGAATGTTCCAGCAAGATGGAGCCCTGCCCCCCCACACCGAAGGCTAACTTGTGACACTTGCATCCTTCTCTATTCTCTTCCCCTGGTCCCCAGAATCAAGCCCCACATAAACTACCTGTACCAAGCCCTGTCTTGGGGTCTGCCTTTGGAGTGGGGGACCCCAACAGGGAGATATACTCCGCAACAAGTCTCCAGGGTGATAAGCCTTTGGTGCTGCCTGCCAGGCAGGCTTACAGGGAGTCTTCTGCAGGTACCTCAGGGCCCACCAAGAGCCACCAGCTGGCCACCTCTGGGTCAGGCCACACCACCAGCCCCCAGGCTTCTGCAGGTGCAGAGTGGGCTGGGAGCACCAGCTGAACGTCTCCTGAAGCCCAGCTCCCTGACAAGCTCCAAGAGAGTATCACTGCCCCCGCATGGAAGATTCCACAAGCTTGGGGGATTAAAAAAGCTTTGAAGCGCCAGGTGTGGCGGCTCACACCTGTAATCCCAGCACTTTGGGAGGCTGAGGTGGGAGGATTATTTGAGGCCAGCTGTTCGAAACCAGCCTGGCTAACATGGCGAAACGTCATCTCTACTAAAAGTAAAAAAAATGAGCCAGGTGTGGTAGCACAAGCATGTAATTCCAGCCACTCAGGAGGCTGAGGTAGGAGAATCTCTTTCTTTCTTTATTTTTTTTTTTAGACGCAGTTTGATCTTATTGCCCAGCCTAGAGTGCAATGGTGCCATCTCGGCTCACCGCAACCTCTGCCTCCCGCGCTCAAGTGATTCTCCTGCTTCAGCCTCCCGAGTAGCTGGGATGACAGGTGCCCACCACTATGCCCAGCTAATTTTTGTATTTTTGGTAGAGACAGGGTTTCTCCATGTTGGTCAGGCTGGTCTCAAACTTCCAACCTCAGGTGATCCGCCCGCCTTAGCCTCTTAAAGTGCTGGGATTATAGGCGTGAGCCACCACACCTGGACTCTACTGGGGATTCTAACCAAGGTTCCTCCAGAGTCTTCATGCACCACCCTACCCCGAAAATGTCCAGGCAGCTGGGGCATTCTGTGCTAACTGCCTTGCTTCTGACGAAGGGAGAAGATGTGGGAGAAATCAGATTAGTGTAAAAGCAATGGTTATTACCCCAGACCAGCTAAGGAACCCCCAAACCTCCATGAAAGTGTGAGGATCTGAGACAGAGGAGGTCTAAGCTGCCATTCCTGAAGAAAGCAATAAGACCCCACAACCCCTGCCTCAGCACAGCGTGAGCAGAAGAAATGACTGCCTAACTCCCTGTGGGGTCCAAGCAGGGGGCCCAACCCGCTGCCTCGTTCCCACATCCCAGTCCTGGATGGAGAATGTCTTCTATACACAGAGAGCTGTGGGGCCAGAGGAGCCTGTAGGATCAGGAATAGCGGGGGAAAGGTGGTGACCAAATGGATCGAAGACTGACAACCGCACCACATCGAGAACCTCATAGGTGCCCGTGCAAGATGCAATCCACAGGGGAAACGCGGTGGGGTCCCCGAGCTGACGGGGATTAGGTTTTTGTCCATTGATCATCTTGGAGTCTTGAAATAAAAATTAAACTCAGTTCTAGAACAAAAAAGAGGGCTGCATTTTTCTTACACGTGGCAGTTGGTGGACTGAGATGGATACTAATGACAGGTAAGTGCAAAAGATCGAGATCGTGGAGGTGCCAGGTTTTCCCCGCTGCAAGTAACACAGCCGTGGACGGCTTTAGGTATCATTAAAGTCCATATTTCCCATCATTGCCACGTGAACTCCTGGAAGCAAAATTCTTGAAGTCAAAGGGTACAAAGTGCTCCAGGCTCTAAATACAATATAGAAGCTCTTGCTTCCAGAAAGCTCATGGTAATGTCTACGTTACCAGGCAGGGGTAAACAACCTGCCTCACTCCACACTCCCCAGCATCAAGAAACATGCTTTTATTCACCTTTGCCAGTTTGAGGGGCAAAAATTAGCCTCGTCTCCATTTGCATCCTTTGGTTTCTAGAGTGAGGTACAACCGTGGGCTGCGGAAAGAAGTATTTAATACTGTGTGCACCTCGCTCGGCCTGTGCCTATGTACAGGGGAGCACCATCCTGTTTCTTGGCCGCTTTGACCGTCAGTTTCCTCCTCCATGAAATGGGGGAAATATATCTCTCTTGCAGGAGGGACAGAGTGGGTATCAATTTGCTGTTTGTCTCCTTGACATTCTCTTTTCTCTTCCTTCTTCCTGCCTTTGTCCTAAATTTCTTCCCCACACGATTTGGCTTTGAGGGGACTTGACTGGCTCAGACCAATCAGTGTCTCCCACCTCTCCAGCCACAGCGATGGGCTCAGGAATGGACCTATGTCCCTAGGCTGATCAGCCACAGGTCAAATCCTGAAACTGGGATTTGAGCTATTGGGTGGAGTGGACCCTCTCATTGACTCACAGCTGTGAAGGAGGAAGCTGCTGGTGACTCTCTTGGAGGCAGGAGGGCATGCCTGCTGTGAGTGATGCTGACACTGTGGAAGTAGAGCTAAGGAACGGAGAAAAAGAAAACTCACTGGTCCTATTCATACCAGTCAATGCATTAGCGGCTGGATCAATCCTTGCCTGAAGCAGGAACTACCTCTTTTTCAGTTACGTGAGTCAGTGAATTCTCTTTATTATTTAAGTACTTTAAATTGGATTTCCTGACACTTGCAACCAAAACTGCAGTAATCAGGATGGGTATTAATGCAAAAACAGCTCCTGGTTTGGCACAGAAATGGCATTTGGAAGATCACGGACTTGTGCACAGAGGGATAGAGCAGATAAAGTAAGAGCATGGCCTTCCATATCAGGCAGACCTGGGCTCAAAGCTCAGTTCCATCTGCTCTGTGCTCTGCTGTGTGAACCTGGGCAAGAGACCTTACCTCTCTGAGCCTCAGTTCCTACCGGTAACTTAAGGATAATAACATCTTTCTTCTCAGGGTTTGTGAGAATTAAAATAAAATCCATATAAAGTTCTTTAAAGTTCCTAGCCGGTAATAAATATTCAATAGATTATTCTTAGTATTTATTAAAGATGTTGTGACCGTAATTTTATTAAAGGTGCTGTTACCTATCTCCCATGCCTGGCCGTGAGCGCCTTGGGGATAGGGGAGAGTTTGAACGGCCTTGTGTGTCCACCACACCGATCTGCATTATCACTTCATTGTCAACTGTGTTTTGCATTTTGCCTCCTTGAACCCAGGAGTCAGGACGCAGGAGCGAGGACGCACAGCTGAGCTCTGTAGTGGGCAGATGGGTCACATGCCCTGCACTCTCCTAGATGTGTGAGTCATACGCCCTGCTGAGCCTAGAAGTAACACCCAGCAGGAGGCCATCACCATGCTTCAGTCTTGACCGATGAAGAAACTGAGGCCTGGCGTGGGGAGGTCAAAGCCAGGGCCACCGTGGCAGGTGGTGGAACTCGCATCTGAGCCCAGGTCTGTGTGACACTGGGGCCCAGGCTCTCTACACGGGCCTGAGCTGGCATTCGAGACAGTGAGGGGCATCGGTGAGCCGGTGATGCACCCAATGGGTGAAGCGACACAGGTAAGCCCCGAGCAGACAGGACTGCGGGTTCAGGGCAAACCGACTGCATTACGGTTACTGTTGGTGTGATTAATGTACAGCTAGACTTCAGTTCTGGTTGCTGCCACTTGGAAGAGAAGAATGGTGGAGCTGATAAAGAGTAATTGGCCAAGAGGACTGGGGAGGAGGAGGCCCAGGCAGCAGGGGAGAAGAGGCTGAGGAGTCGAGGCCTCTTGGTCTGGGGCTCTGGCCTCTGGCTCCTGGGAAACTGGACAAGAGAGTGAGAAGCCTGTACCCCTGACATCGCATCCTTCCCTGAAGACAGCTCCTTTAGATCCAGAAGGGCCCACCCCCTACTCCCACTTAGGCTGTTAGCACACAGCAGGAGCAGTGGCTACGGGCCTGGAAAAGGCTGGAAAGACCTGGAATGTTCCAGAAATTGATCCAAAAAGGGATATTGGGGGTGGTCCCTCACCTCGGACAGCAGAAAACAGGCTGGTGACTTAGCAAGAGCCCTGCAGAAACAAGGGCTCCGAGAATTGTGTGGCTTGCCCAAGGTCCCACAGCTGGGCAGAGAAAGCCAATTAGACTTGGAGTCCATGCTTTTTCCTGGCACCAGGAGCCTCCCTCCCAGAGGACATAGGCAGCTGGGTGCCCCTACACCCGCCCTCCCTCACAGGGCCTGCCCCACGGGGCCCAGGGCTGCCTGCACTGAGTCAGGCCGTGTTTGGCAGCCACATTTGTCTCTGAGACCTGAGATGGGAAATCCTGCTCTCCTACCCCCTCTGCAAGGCTGTGGCAGGCTTGAGAGGCTTAGCATACCCATTGGACAGATGAGGAAACTGAGGCTCATAGAGTCACATGATCTGTCCCCGTTCCCCAGCCAGCAGGAGGTGCTGTGGAAGTTAGAGCCCAGGTCTGTTCTTACCTTCTGGTCCCCCACGGGCAGCTCTGAGCTTCAGCTGCAAAGCCAGAGGCTGGACGCTCCTTCCAGCAGAACCTGTGGGGAGGGCCTGGAGCTTCCACAGGCAGTGAGTTTCTCAGGATGCAGAAACGCCAGGTTGGGGAAACCAGACACTCTCTCCTTCTCCGAGGCTATGGGAGGCAGAGGTGACAATTTACAAGCACCTTGGGATGATGGGGGAACCATCTGTGCAGACACTCAGCGCCTCTAAAAGCAATTTAGCTTATGTTCCTTCCTGTCCTCAGCCTTCCTCTCTCTCCCCACAACTATCGATCCACCAGGGTCCCCTCTGCTCCTCCCAGCAACACACCCGGCCACGGGCTCTGCCACCAACCGGCCGCACCACCAGAGCACCTCCACCCCTGCGGCCCCGGCTCCCTGTCCAAATCTGCAGATGACAATGGCTGCACCCCACACGACTGTTTTTAGGGTGGCTCCTGTCCTGGCACTTCGCAAGCACTCAGTAATGTGGGGTTTTTTTATCATTTTTAAATGTATTTATTTATTTTGCTATTGTTGCTGCTTACTTTTTTTTTTTTTTTAATTTTTTTATTTCCATAGGTTTTGGAGGAACAGGTGGCATTTGGTTACATGAATACATTCTTTAAGTAATGTTGGTTTCTTTCCTGGCCAGAAGCAGCCACAGGCTTGGGCCCCGAAGCACCCCAGGCCTGCGCGTCCCTCCCATCTCCTCGTGGCTCCAGGGAGACCCTCGCTGTGCCTCTGCTACTTGTCTTCCCTCCCTGCCTCCCCGGAACCCAGGATCACACATGTCCATTTCCTCGGGAGTCATTTCCCCAAGCCTTGTTCCCTGCTGTCCAACCAGGGCCTGGAGCAGGGCCCAGCCCCTTCTCAGAGTTCAGTGAATAATGAGCAACTGACCAATCAACAGGGAACACCAGATCCAGCAAGTTGCTGCCAGGAACCCCTTCCTCCAGGAAGACTTCCCTGACCTCCACCTGGGCCAGGCTAGGGACTCCTCATACAAGATCCCCTGACCCCCCAGAACTGTAAACTAGTTACAAAGTGTAGGTTCTGGGGTCCAAGTCTCACTCTCACCAATTAGCTGTTCGTCTTTGGGCGAGTGGCATAACCTCCCTGTGCTCCCATGTCCTCACTTGTAAAATAAGGGTAACAATACCAGTATCTGCCAGAGAGCATCCTCCTGAGGCATCACAGGACACATACCACATGCAGAATGAGGCCCAACGCATTCTGAGCACTCACAGGCATGAGCAGTGTGTGTGGTCACGGGGAGGGCGCCGTATTATCTCATTTATTTAACTGCCTTCTGCCACCTGCCTGTGAACCTGTCAGCACCTGTAGCTAAGCCCGTCAGGTGTTGCTTCCCCTCCCATCACCGTCCCGTGAGCCTCCTGCTGACCTTGGCCTTCCCCTCCAGCGGCTGCCCCTGCATCTCTGCTTCAGCTGCTTCTACCATCACCGGTCCCACAGCTGCAGGGAGGTGAGCCATGTGGGAGTCAACAGCCCAAAGCCTCGTCCTCAGCCAATGACCGACAGGCCCTCAAGTCGGAACCAACTCCAGAGTGCCCTGCAGAATGAGGCTGAGGACACTCTCTGTGGGGCTTTGCCGGAAATCACACCCAGGCTTGGTGGCTCCCACCTCCTCAGCTCCTCCCCGGCTTCCCCCACTCCCTTGCTCTTTCTCCTGGGAGCACAGATTGTACCCGAATCCTCATGCCCCCTTGCAGCCACCTAAGACAGTGGCCAAGTCTGTTCACCTCTATCCCATGCCTAGCAGTGCCCAGGCACGGGCTTGGACAATGTGAACTGAGCAATGTCATCAGGAATAAGACTGGGGGAGTCAGCCAAGGGAGGAATCCTAAGAGGGAGGAGCGGAGGCTGAGAGCCGGCGGCCTCCCCAACCCAGCCTCCTCGCCCTAAGCATGCGCAGCCCCTTCCCTTACCCGCATGGAGGAGCCATTTGCAGCCATAAATGTTCAATGGAGCATGTGGTCTTTAGCGCACGGGCCTTGAGCTGCATAAACAAGGTTGTAAAATTTAAAGGCAAACCAGGCTGGGATCCCAGGGGCAGCCACGCCGACATCACAGATGGAGGTGGGGGTTGAGCGGAGGAGCAGGAGGCAGCCATGGCAGCATTAAAGCTGGGACAGAAAGAAGGGGCGGCTGGCCTCACCTGACGGTGGTTCGCGTTTTTAATTTTTGTCGCCCTTTGACTGGAATGGAAGCAGGCCCTCAGTGAGACTGCGCTGCAGTTCCAGGAGGGTAGATAGTTTGTCTTTTCCAAAGAGGACCGGTGTTCCTCCCTGCTGATGAATAAGCGACCCAGCACGGGATTGTACATGCTGAGGCTTCAGCTTCAAGTGAACAAGATAAAGTCCTTGCCCACCGGGAGCTTCCATTCTAGATGAAGGGAAAAAAACACAAGTCAAAAAATCATGATAATGTTAATACTGATCAGTGACGGAAAAATGAGATTCGAGCCAGGTGTGCTGGCTGGTGCCTGTAATTCAGCACTTTGAGAGGCCGAGGCAGGCGGTAATAGGTGTTGAAATGGAACCATTTTGGTCTCTGTTTTGGATGAGACCCTAAGACAATAAATGCCAACCTCATCCTCATTCCAAGGTGAGGTGTGAGACCACACAAGCAGGATTTCAAAGGAGGTGGCCAAGAGCTGGCCTTGATGATCCTTCCTCTAGCTTAAAAGAGGTTGGAGGCTGGGCACAGTGGCTCACGCCTGTAATCCCAGCACTTTGGGAGGCCGTGGCAGGTGGATCACTTGAGGCCAGGAGTTCAAGACCAGCCTGGGCAACATGGCGAAATGCTCTCTCTACTCAAAATACAAAAATTAGCCAGGTGTGGTGGTGCACACCTGTAATCCCAGCTACTCAGGAGGTTGAGGCAGGAGAATCGCTTGAACTCGGGAGGTGGAGGTTGCAGTGAGCTGAGATTGTGCCATTGCACTCCAGCCTGGGCAACAGAGTGGGTTTCCATCTCAAAAAAAAAAAAAAAGAAAGAAAGAAAGAAAAAGAAAAATGGATTAGGAGGGAAGCCTACTTCAGAGGGGAGAATCACAATGGAATGAGACTACAGTAACACTTGTGGGACCTCTGGCCTCCTGAGCACTCAGGAGGGAGGCACTGGCCGCAGAGTTCCTTGCTGTTGAGCAGAGGCCAGCTGTTCCTTCAGCAGGCCACTCCAGCCTTCCTCCTGCTCCCTTCCCTGCAAATCAGGCAACTGTTTACAGATCGCTTTTTTTCCTTCTCTCTCTAGTGTCAGGGTCTCCTTCCACGGTACAGTGGCATGATCATGGCTCACTGCAGCCTCCAACTTCCTGGGCTCAAGCAATCCTCCCACCTCAGCCTCTTGAGGATCTAAAGGCAGATATCACCATGCCCAGCTAATTTTCTTAATTATTTGTAGAGACAGGGTCTCAACATGTTGCCCAGGCTGGTCTTGAACTCCTGGGCTCAACTGATCCTCTTGCCTCTGCCTCCCAAGTGCTGGGACGACAGGCACGAGCCACTGTGTCTGACCTGAGCTCATCTTAGGGAGCATCGCTGAGTCGGGAGTTCTCCTGGGAGGACACACATGGCCAGCCCAGCTTTCAGACTCCTCACATCATCAGTCATGACGCATGTGGACTCTGGAGCCACAGCCCTGGGTTGAGTTCCCACCCCTGCCATTTACTATCTGTGTTCCCTGGGCAAGAAACTCCCTTCCCTGAGCCCCATTCCCCGCACTGTCGAATGGAAATAACACTACTTACCTGGCAGTCATTGGGAGGATTCGATGAGGCAGGATGGTGCATACTAAGCCTGCCACAGGGCTAGCAAGTATTGTTTCCATTGTCATCATTCTCTCCCTCCTGTGACCAGGGATGGCCCTGCCGCCAACATAAGCTGATCCAGCAGGCTGGGAGAAGGGGTAAAGGCAAAGAGTCGGGGAGTCAGGGATGCCGGCTGCAAGAGTCTGGCTGAGCAAGGAAGAGGGGCAGCCAGTTGAGTGGGGACGGAAGTAGCTGGCGTGGTAAGGAAGGGGCTTGGGCGGGGAGGCAAGGCCCTGGGTGCTTGAGGATCAGGACAAGAAGGAACGTGGAACCAGGTGGGGGCCGCATGGCCTCATTCAAGAGATACCACAGCAGATTCTGCAGGCAGGGAGGACAGTCCTTTCCAGCTCTGGGGGATCCTGTTGAAAGTTACCCCAATTTGTAAGATGAGGGAGGCAGCAGAGGGTGGTAGAGGGGCCTGATAAGCCTGGGCCAAATCCTGGCTGCAGGGCTGTGTGAACTTGGCCAAAGTAACTTTCTCTCCTTAAGCCTCAATGGCATCATCTGTAAAATGGGGACAACCCTAGACTCCACCACACAGGGTCACTGCGAGGACTGAAGTCAGTGCTCACTGAATGCAAGTTAATACAGTCACAGTGAAGAGCCCCTGGTTTTAAGATTGGGTGAACCTAAGACGCAAAATTTGAAGATTCTAAGTGAGGAGTTTAAATTCTTACTAGAATGTTGGGTCCATGAGGACAGGGGTTTGGTCTGTGTTGTTCATGGTTTTATGAATAGTACTTGGTACCCAGGGCCCGGCATACAATAGGTGGGCATATGTGTGTGTATTCACATGTGTGTTTGGTGAGTGAATGAATGAATGAATGAGTGAATGAATGAATGAATTGGCAAGGCTGACCACTCTCTGTCCAGTTGCTCAAACCAGAAATGAGGCTGCCCGCACCCCGTCCTCCACTTCTCCTCAGGAGCAGGCTCTCCAGCAGCTCTCCGTCTTCCTCCCCGTGATGACAGTCACACTCGCGCAGGTGGAGCTGCTGCCCTTCTGCATTGGCCTCTCAGCTTTCAGTCCCACCTGTCTTTTCCTCCCATCTTAAAAATCTCATTTGCAGAAAGAAAAGTTCATTTACCAAATTGGGGGCATCCTGCTGCAGGGCTGAGACATTAGCAGGCACAAAAGAAAGTCGTAGCTCAGTCACTTACAAAATTAACAAGGAGGAGCTTGGAGCAAGGAATCTATCTGCGCTAGAATAAAGGACGGCCTCCCAGGAACTGCAGGTCACAGCACATCTGCCTGCTCAAGAAGTCCTGGAGTGATCAGCTGGCACCTGGTGCGGTGACGGCCTTGGCAGGGGGATGGAGGAAATGACCAGCGGTGATCATTCACAGCCCTGGATGGCAGCAGAGAGGGAACCCCACAGCAGTGACAGTCATGCTGACAGCTCTGCTCTCCTCTTCACCCCAGGACACTTGGAACCTGAGTCCAGCCACTCCTGCCTCATTAACCAGCCTGCACAGGGCCATGCAAAATGTCTTCATTAGGAGGCCACACTGGCTTGCGTAAATTAATTTGATAAAGATAATGAAGTTCATCAGAGCAGAGCTGACCATGTTTCCAGGAGCTGAGGGCTGAGCAGGAGTGTCCTGAGGGCTGAGCTCTGAGGACCGGGAGCTAGGGAGCGGCAAATGGGCTTTGCCAGCACTGTTGCTGGGGCACGCAGTCCCCCCAGCCCAGAAGCATTTTATCCTGGGCAGGGTGAAGGACCCAGGGAATCTATCTTGTCCTAATGGTTTCTGGAAACAAGCTGGGCTCCAGTCTTGGCTTTGCCATGTGCCACGGGCATCTAGTCACCTGGTTTCTGACAGCCTCAGTTTTCTCAGCTGTAGAATGAGCATAACAGTCCTGTCTCCCAGCACTTAACTAGTTAAGTAAGAAAACACACATAAAGCATTTGGCACATGCCTGGAGCACATAGTGGGCCCTTGATACATCACAGCAGTTAGTTTTATCACTGAAGTAAAATAACGGAAGCCTCTCTCTGAACCTGGGGCATCCAGGTTGGAAAGTGGCTCTTTTAGCTAAACCATTCAAGCCTGGTTTTCGTGAGCCTCTCATGCTGCTCTGTTCCTTTTGGGGTTCAAAAGGTTGACAGCTTTGGCCAAGGTCATGCAGCTGGTAAGTAGCAGATGCAGGATTTGAATCCAGGCCTTCCAACCCCAGAGAAAAGCCAATGTATGTGCTAAGAAGTGTGTGGGCCTGCAGATAATGGGCAGAGCCAGGGTAGAGACAGCGCCTGTACACATTGGATAATTCTGTTTCCTCTCTGAGCCAGACTTAACCAACATGGTCAGTTGCAGGGAAGATTTAAACAACCTTGAGGTCACATCGGCCACTCACAGTGGGTAGAAAAACTGTCAGCTTAGGGGTCAGGAGAGCTGGGGTTCAGGCATAGGTCGGTCACAACCATCTGTGGCACCTTAACCAAGTTGTATCCCTCTCTGAGCCTCAGTTTCCCCATCTGTGAAAGAGAAGGAAGGTTTCTGACCCTGAACAGCCCCCAGCCTTATTCCTTCCAGATTCTCCTCTATGCCACCTGGTCTTTGGTTTGGGGTACCTGAAGTTTGTCACCACACACCCTGCATCCTGGCACGGTATCATCCCATGAGGCAGAGCTCACTGGAGACATCTGCATTCCGTCTCCTCAGACAGAAGCAAGAAGACCTAAGGGTAGACGTCAGGGGTTCTCTGATTCTAAACAACGCAGTATTCTGGGGATGAAGGATCCTGAAACGGAAGTTCTCCTTGGGATGTAAAATCCAAGAACAGCTTGGGTGACAATGCTGCTTGACAAGGAAGAATAACAATGACAGTGCTAAGCATTTGTTTCCCTTGCTGTAAATGAGAGCGATGCATTGGCTGTCTAATTAGCAAAATAGTCAATAATTGGTGTAATCTGGTCCTATTCCCTCTCTGCCGTGTCGTCCCATTTCAAGCTTGAGCTGCCGGTAATATCAGGCAGATAATTGTTAATACTGAAAATGAAAAATCAAATCAGAGTCATCGGAGGTTCCCATTAAATTGATTTAGGACTGGAAACATTAATGGGATTCCCTTTCCTCGCCCCTTGTCCCCCGCCCAGTCTCTGCTTCATTCTGTCCCAGAGCAAGGCCATCGCACTTTGAGAGGGAATTGGGGGGCGTCCTGAACCACAGATCCCACCTCAATAAGTCTCTGCCCCTCAGCTTCTGACCTGCTACCATCCTACCCTGAAAAACAGTCAGGAGGCACCTCCCAGGAGGCAGTGGTGTTGGTAAGAGGAAAGTACCCAGCTCTGGGGACTTTATGACAGAGCACGTGTACACTTCCTTTCCTTTCTCGTGAGAACTGAGCCTCTGAGACAGAGAGAAGCCTGTGCTATTTCTAGTTAGATAAGGCGAAGAAACAGAATTGGCATGAAATGGATCCCATCAGTTGCAGTGACAGAAATCAACTCAAACTAACTTAAGAAAAAAAGAACATTTATCGGCTCATGAAACTGGAAAGTCCAGAGGGAGAACTGGCCCAGAAACGCAAAGAACCCAGAGGTGTCACCACCACTGCTTGTCCCTGTCTCAGCCTCCTTCCTTCTCATACGGCCGGGACTGCTCCATACTGAGCGGGGGTGGGAATGGAAGTGGGGGACATAACCACACCGATTCAGGGTTTACATCAGCCCAATTTAGCAATCCCAGAAAAATCTGAGCGCTTCGCTCACCCAGCATCAATATGTAAAAGCCAGGGAAGGGCTCTGATTGGTTCATCTTGGGTCATATGCCCATCTCTGGACCAATCACTATTGCCAGGGATGAGTCATTCTACTGATCAGGCCTGGATCCTGAATCCAGTCCTGTGGGGGAAGGGATAGGATGTTTTGGGTTTTTTTTTAGACAGAGCCTTGCTCTGTCACCAGGCTGGAGTGCAGCGCTGCAATCTTGGCTCACTGCAACCTCCACCTCCTGGGTTCAAGCAATTCTTCCACCTCAGCCTCCCGAGTAGCTGGGACCACAGGCACACGCCACCGTGCCCGGCTAATTTTTTTGTATTTTTGGTAGAGACGGGGTTTCACCATGTTTGCCAGGATAGTCTCGATCTCTTGACCTCGTGATCCACCCGCCTCGGCCTCCCAAAGTGCTGGGATTACAGGCGTGAGCCACCGCGCCCCTCCTTTTTTGTTTGTTTGAGATGGAGTTTTGTTGCCCAGGCTGGAGTGCACTGGCGTCATCTTGGCTCACCACAACCTCCACCTCCCGGGTTCAAGCGATTCTCCTGCCTTAGCCTCCCCAGTACCTGAGATTACAGGCATGTGCCACTGTGCCCGGCTAATTTTGTATTTTTATTAGAGATGGGGTTTCTTCATGTTGGTCAGGCTGGTCTCAAACTCCTGACCTCAGGTGATCCACCTGCCTTGGCCTCCCAAAGTGCTGGGATTACAAGTGTGAGCCACTGTGCCTGGTCAGGATAGGGCATTTTTTTAATTGGCAGCCCCACCAAGTGAGCAGGTGAGGGAGAATTTCAAAAGGATGCTTTACTACTAGAATAGGAGATCACCCCAAAACTAAACATCTTAAAACAGCAGCCTTTGTGATGATCTCTCATGATTCTGTGCTCAGCTGGGCAGTTCTCCTGCCAGACAATGGCGTCTGGGCACTTGACCAGGCAGCAGCATCCGGGATGACTCCCCCATGTATATGCTGCCTGGGCAGGGCCAGCTGGGGGTGCCAGGCCTCTCTCTCGGGCTCTCTGTGTCTCCATGAGTCTGCCCATACAATTTCTCCATCAGGGTACCTAGACTTCTTTTGGGATCAGGGCTCCCAAAAGCATGAAAGCAGAAGCTGCCAGGCCCAGAACTGGCACAGCACTCCTTCCATCATATTCCACAGTTCAAGCAAAGACCAACTCAGATTCAAGGGGAAGGAAAAAAATGGTGGAAGTGGCAAAGAGTCTTCCACCACTTTTAACTCACCCTGGATGGGCCTGGGGCTCACAGAGGATCACCCAGCAAACCGGGGACAGCCAGAACTCAAACCCAGGTCTCCGGACTCCAGGACCCTCCGGAGCTCACACACCGGGCACCTGGAAGAGCCCACTGTGCCGAGGAGGAGCCTCAGTTTTCTGCCTCAGGCAGAGAGCCCAGAATGACGGCCACTCCCCAGGAAGGGTTTTGTGGTTTCTGTGGAGATGAAGAGCTGACAAGAAACAGCTCAGGTAATTATATTAATTTTCCTCAATTTACACATTCTTGCTACTTGCCATTTCGCCAGGAATGTGTAAATGAGGAGATCAGAGTGGCTGGCAATACCGTAATTAGGTCCGCATTGTTAACAAGTTTCTGCTGCGTGTCTTATTATTGGGTCTCTTTCACGGCTGGGGGACCTGTCTCCCATTCGGACTGGGGACTCACCAAGGGCACGGGGTTGATCTCCCCATTCAGCCCAGGGATCTCCACCCTAGGATTGGAGAATCCTCTGAGGACAGGGAAATATCTCCCCCAGTAGGCTAGGTCGCCTCCTGGGCAGAAACTAGATCTTCCTCGAATGGGAGAGCAGAGCCAGGGCTCCCTGCAGACTTGTGGCTTCCCCATCAAACTTGATGACAGGAGCTATGCGTCCTCCAGCAGCCTAGGAGCTCCCTAAGATCAAGCCCATCACCCCCAGCAGATGGGGAACATCCCAGTTCAGTGGCTGAGTATCACCCATCAGAGCGCTAAGACTGTGGAGACTAAAGCTCAGACCCCATCCTCCTGTGACCACCCTACCACCCCCATGGCCTCCTGCACAAACACACAGGAGTCTTTGGAGTCTAAAGAAAGCAGGCACTGAGGCTGGCCGCGGTGGCTTACGCCTGTATTCCCAGCACTGTGGGAGGCTGACGTGGCAGATTGCTTGAGCCCAGGAGTTCAAGACCAGTCTGACCAACATGGCAAGACCCTGTCTCAACAAAAGATTGAAAAACTAGCCATGCATGGTGGTGTGTGCCTGTGGTCCCAGCTACTCAGGAGGTTGAGGCAGGAGGATCTTTTGAGCCTGTGCAACACAGCAAGACCCTGTCTCAAAAATAAAGCGGGTATTGGGCCCTCCAGAAGGTAAACTTCAGAGGCTCCATTACCCCCAGGGCACCCCAGGGAAGCTGCTGGGCTGTGTGTATATCCGGGGCTTTCACAGGGTGGAAGCCAACTGGGGGGCTGCACAGAACATGTTGGTGTCAGGAAGGCCAGTTCCACTCTGAAAAGGCAACAGACCTGTGCCCAGTGGCCTAACATGGCTCTGCCCCCAGTGATGGCTGTGGTCTCTTCCTGAGCCCATGTTTAGAAACAGTTCACGCCAGCTTGGACTGAAACACAACCTCAAGCCCCAGCCTCAGCCCTCCCAGGACCAGCCCTCCCAGGACCAGCCCTCCCAGGACCCCTTCGGTCCTCCCTCTCCCAGCCCCAGCTCTAGCCCAAGCCTCAGCTCATGGCCCAGCCACAACCCCAGTCTCAGCCCTCCGCAGGGTCTCCCTCAGTCCTCCTTTCCCCACCCCCAGGTTGTAAGCACTCCAGCTCCGAGGCTTCATCTCTTACGCTTCCCTTTCTAGTTAACTTTGAGGATTCCCAGAGATAATGCCTGTAGAAGCAGCGGCAGGGCCTGGAGACACACTAGAAACGGCTCACACCTGGGGCCCCCAGGTGCTCACAGCCACCCCTTAAGGAAGGCCTCAAAAGCCCATTCATTCAGCTGAGGACATAGACCCCCCCAGGAGGTAGCACTCTTCTAAGGCCACACAGTCAATACGAAACGGAGCCAAGATCCAAACTCAAATCTGCTCCAACGCCCACATACGCTGCCTCCAGGAAGCCTTCCTTGGTTGACTCTTTTTGCTGCCAGCATCCTGCCTATTGGACTACATGTTCAGAGAGGACAGGGAAACTCTAACATCCCCAGTAACTATAGCCTAATGTCAGGTTCAGCAAAGGTGCTTAGTTGTATAGTGGGAGCAATTTGTTGGAGACAAAGCCTGAGGTTTGTTTTGTTTTGTTTCGAGACAGAGTCTTGCTCTGTAGCCAGGTGCCAGGCTGGAGTGCAGTGGCGCGATCTCGGCTCACTGTAACCTCTGCCTCCCAGGTTCAAGCAACTCTCCTGCCTCAGCCTCCCGAGAAGCTGGGACCACAGATGTGTGCCACCACGCCCAGCTGATTTTTGTATTTTTTAGTAGAGACGGGGTTTCACCATGGTCTCGATTTCTTGACCTCGTGATCCGCCCGCCTCAGCCTCCCAAAGTGCTGGGATTACAGGCGTGAGTCACCGCGCCTGGCCTGAGGTTTATTTTTACCCCCTATTAGATGAGTCCTTTCTCACAGTGCTATAAAGAAATACCAGAGAAGGGGTAATTTATAAATAAAGGAGGTTTAATTGACTCACAGTTCCGTATGGCTGGGAGGTCTCAGGAAACTTACAATCATGGTGGAAGGGAAGGCAGGCACCTTCTTCACAAGGCAGCAGGAGAGAGAAGCTGTAAGAGCAGGGAAAGCTGATCTCGCGAGAACCATCGGATCTCGGGAGAACTCACTATCATGAGAACAGCATGGGGCACACCGCCCTCATGATCCAATCACTTCCCACCAGGTCGCTCCCTAAACACCTGGGGATTACAACTCAAGATGAGATGTGGGTGGGGACACAAAGCCTAACCATGATCACCTATAAATGTTGATGAGCTGATATTTCCCCACCTCTACCTCACTGAGTCCGTGCCATTTATCACGTTGTGGGGTGAGAATTGGGGGTGGGAAGAGTGTTCCGTCTTAGTGTTTGTGTCCTCTCAAAGTTCATGTGTTGACGTCTTAAACGCTAATGTGATGATATTTGGAAGTGGGGCCATTAAGTCATGAGGGTGGAGCCCCCATGATGGGGTTCATGCCTTTATAAAAAGGAGAAGGAGGCCGGGCGTCGTGGCTCACACCTGCAATCCCAGCACTTTAGGAGGCCGAGGCAGGTGGATCACATCAGGTCAGGAGTTCGAGACCAGCCTGGCCAACATGGTGAAACTTCGTCTCTACTAAAAATACAAAAATTAGCCAGGCATGGTGGCACGCCCCTGTAATCTCAGCTACTCAGGAGGCTGAGACAGAAGAATTCGCTTGAACCTGGGAGGCGGAGGTTGCAGTGAGCCAAGTTCGCACCCCTGTGCTCCAGCCTGGGCAACAGAGCAAGACTCCATCTCAAAAAAAAAAAATGGAGAAAGAGAGACCAGAGCATACACTCTCTGCCATGTGAGGACACTGCAAAAAAAAACAGCCGCCTGCAACCTGGAAGGAGCCTCCTAGACACTGAATCTGCCAGCTCCTTGCTCTTGCACTTCCAGCCTGCAGAACTGTGAGAATAAATGTTTGTTGTTTAAGCCTCCTGGCAAGTGGTATTTTGCTAGGGCAGCTCGAGCTGAGACAGGGGGATGTAACCTAGAACAAACAACCAGCTTTGAGTTCCAAATTTGACATGTTTGTGTCCACAGCAAGACTATCCACTTGAAAGTCTGGCTTTGTTGGGGTAGAAAAAATTTTAAATGATAAAAGCCCCAGCTTGCTCCGGGCACTTGCTACAGAGCATAGGCAGGCGTGCCGGCTCTCTCTGCCCAGGTCCCCTCTCTGGCTAACAAGGAAGCAGACAGGACTGCCAGGGATCTACGCTTCCAAGGGCAGCTCAGCCAGGCACCCCGCTGGTAGAGGTTGGAGGAGAAAGTGCTTCTCTGACTCCCAGAGCCCCTCAGTGGGCTTAGGCCCCAGGTACTCACTCAGTAAACTGCTCAATATCCCCCCAACACTGGTTGCCTTCCCTTCCCCATTTCATGCCCCCATCAGGGCCCCACCTCCCAAATAAACGACCTAAATCAAAATCCTTGCCTCAAGCTCTGCTTCCTTTTACGAAGCAGGAACAGAGCTCAGTG